GAGGGCTCCGGGGTGTAAGGAGGAAAGGGATAAACCCCGCCTGCGGCGAGGCCCCGGCGGGCCGAAGGGTCAAGGGGCAGCCAGAGGGTTATGGGGGAAAAGGGAAGGTCAAAAGTGCTGGCGTGGCTGGTAACGGCACAGCCAGAGTCTCAAGTCTGATGTGTCTCTGTGGACATCCCCCCCTTTAAAAAAAAAAAAAAAAAAAAAAAAAAAAAAAAAAAAAAAGTATTTTATTATTCTATTATTTCGTTATTATTTTGCCTTTAAATCTGCACCGCTCATCCGTGCTTAAGACAAAGGACTGCCGCCCACCCTGATTTGACTCAGACACTGCATGCTAGCACTGCAAGAGGTGCTCTCTTCTCTATGTTTCACAAGCTGCCTTTTTTTTGGCTGGGTGCCTTTATACTTTTTGTGCGCCGTACAATGATACTGCACTCCAAAAAAAAAAAAAAAAAAAACCCTCAAGTTCCAAGCGCTTGTCCTACAGGGGAAAGCTGTCCAGCTGGATGCCCCGCAGAAATAAGGTAATCAAGGATGAATAAATCTCTTTGCGCTGTGCTAGTTCTGAGGGGATTTATTTAAGAGGAGAAAAAGTAGAGTGAGTGCCTGTTTTGACAGCCACGTAAAACTTGCTTCGCTTCACTCTGAACAGGCTGGGAAATGAAGACTAAGGGCTGTCAAGGTGAATCTAAATAATCAGGTCATCTCTTGGGGTCCTGCCTTCTTGACATTGCTGGAGAGACCAAGATTCATTTTCCGATTCTGATCCAATCTCTGCTCTCCTCCTTACAAGAGAGGAAGGGAGAAGGAATCTTTTTGGCATTTAAGGAGAGATAAAGAGAGATTTAAAATATGCAGCAGAGCACAAAGCGCCTTGTATTTCATCCTCCAAGACTTCCATCTCCTTCTCAGTCTGCGGAGAGCAGGCTGTTAGGATGCACACTTAGCGAAGGCCAGCAAGAAGCATTAGGATATAGAGGACTTGTCTGGGAGGGAAGATGAAAGAAACTATACAGCTCGGTGAGGAAAATCAAGTGCTACAGCGGCACTCTCTGCTGATTACTCTCTTTTGTGCAATGCTCTTATGCAGAGCACTCCCACACAACCTTGGCTCTCCAGCTGGTTTCCCAGAGCAACACCCAGCACCCAATGAGCCCGGCAGCCACAACCAAAGTTTGCAGATAAGGGTTCAGCTACTCAGGCACCAGCAACAGCAACATCGTCTCTTACAAATCATGACAGCAGCTAATTTTTATCAGGGGAAAAAAAAATAAATTGATTCTCCAACTCACTGATTGTGGTGAAGACGCTTGTGAAGCAGAAGTAATCCACAGCATTGAGTGAGAGCAGGTGATACAGAAACTGTTCCCGTTCTTCTTCACAGCGCAGGAAAGCGTAACGCTTGTAAAGTTTCCTGGTAGAAACAAATATATTGCTGCTTTTTGTTTTTTTTGTTGGAAAAGCACCATGTATCTTAAAAGGTGTTTGAATCTCAAAACACCAGATGAAGGGCTTATCTTAATGGGAGGTACAAAAAGCGAGATTCTCCAGCTAACACAAGCTGCTAGGAACCCACAGGGGACATTTACTCCCTTATGCGACACGTGTTTTACAGATGACTCTAGGCTCCACGCCACCATAGCTACAGAGTTCATTTCATAACAGGATCAGTTTTGGTTTGCTGCAAAGAACAGATATAAACTAACGCTACTCACAACAGCAGACCTGAACCAACATACAGCAACCTCATGTCTTCCCACTATAGAACAGCCTTGTCTAATAACCTCATCTTCCTTCTGCTCCATATTGCGACAGAGAAAACTAAGCAGAAGGCACCACACCAGGGAAGGCACTGAAGAGCAGCAGGGGTCCTCCCACCACTCTTTCAGTTCAGTGAATCAAATGTACACCACCAATTGCCCAAAGCAGTGCAAAGACACACCAGGAGTTAACCTGGCCCAGCTCTGAGAAAGCGCAGGGCTTGTGACACTGCCTGTAGTCTGAAGGCAACAGGCTCCCAAAAAGCTGCTGGAGGTAGATAGATGTAGATCAAACTTCAGGAAAAGACAGGTCTGTCACCATGCCTTTAGCTGATCACCCAAGAGGTGACTGTCTCCAGCTACTCCTCTTTCTTCCCATTAGCAGATTTGAGTATTTGGTAGCTTCCAGTATAAATCATGTGTAACTCGTCACAGAGCCACAACTGCTTGCAACAGCTAGGATGTTTTCTTTTCATAAAGTTGGGTGGGTTTTTTCCTAGAATTTTTTCTTTGAGAAAATGAAGTCAGGGAGCATCTACACAGGCAGATCTTTAAGTGCCTGTGCTGGCAAAAGGAGGCAAAGCTGGGGGAGCTGCTAAGTGGCTGGGAGAGCTGGCCGCTCGTGCAGCTCATCATCAGTCAGGATGAGGGCCTGCATTTGGCTTGAGTCAACCTAAGGCTGGGCTGCTGGGAGAAATTCCTGCCCCTGCTCCTTCATTTGCACCAGATTTAGTGATTGTAGGGGTGCGAAGTGCCTTGGATCAATGCAGTGATCTGACTAAAACCTAACGCCTCCTTCCTGAAAATGGTGATTTGTTTTCCATGCAGATGAACAAACTTCTACCCTGCCACGTGGGCAGTACCTCCTCCCCCAGCTACCTTCTGCCCTTCAATCACTTCTAGCTGGGAACCACAGTACCCAAACAGGGTGCCTGGCTGTGCCCCAAGCCTGCACCGCACCTTGACACACCACGGAGGAAGATGTGGAAGTGAAGCTTTGAGAAAAAGAGCCAGCTTACTTGGCAAGTGCCTGGTTGGAAAGTAGCTGCTTCAGGTGCTGAGACAAAAGCTTCTTCTCCAGAGAAAGCCTTATCCAGGCTCGGGCTCGCCCCACATCCGTCTTTATCTCACTCATGTTCTGAACATGCCTGAAATGGGTAGGAAAAAAAAAATAAAAATAGATGAATCATAAAAATTCTACATGCTTCAAATGGCAACATCCAGTGTGATGCAGCAGCTGAACTGGAAAACGTCTCCTGACATCATTTCTAGAGAAAGATCCACAGCAGGGCCCCGCAGAGCCCTGCGCTGTGGCACTGAGACCCCCGGCAGCCCGAGGCTGGCCCGGGGACACGGGGCAGCCCTTCCTGGGCATGGCAGGTTGCAACCCGGATGCACTACAGCCCGTATCAGCTGCTCTGTGTCCTGGCATTTGCTTGGGCAAGGCGAGCAGGGGTAGATCTGCTCATCCCCACATTGCCTGAGGTAGATGGCCTCATGGACACTGCTAACAAAAAAAGCAGCCACCTTGTCAGCTTTTATCAGTCGTTCCCTCAAGCTGCTGACACAAGCGGGTATGTCTGGGAGGGCAGAGAACAAACAGGTATCTTAAGATTTCTCCAAACCACAATCCACTCTGAAGGCTCTAACAAACCCCTTGATGGCAGCAGCGATGGGAAATCTGAGAAAAAAGAGGATTGTTGGAGCAAAACCAGCAACAGGCAGTCACAAGCAGAATGACATTTTCAGAGATATAAGAGGCCCTCACGTAAGTGATAATCTGAATAACCCTCCATATGCCTGGTCTGTAGGAAAGCAGAACTGTTCCACAGGGGCTTTCTTCTAAGGTTTTGCTTTTCTTTTTTTAAACTTCCCACATTTCAGTTTGGAGAATGCCAGAAACCCCAGTTTTAGAGCACGAGGAGCTTTAGAAGAGGAAGAGAACTGCCATGGCAGGGTGAAGCTGCTTCCAAAAACCCCGCACTTGGTTAAATAAACAGCAAGAAAAATGAGTAACAGTTTCCAGCAGGGGAAAGAAAAGGCTGCAATTTCTTAATTTTCTCGCAGTTTGCATGTTAAGTGCACAGACAATTCAGCCCTCCAAACCTCCATGGCAGGCTCCAAGTACCATCAGCTGAGTCTGAACTGCTCTCTGTTACGATTTACTTTCCAGCTCCTGCAGCTTCCTTGAAGACCCTCCACGCATTGCTGAGTGTTAGGGAATGTGGCAATATTTACTCCAAAGAAAATCCAACAAAGTCATGCTGTGACTGATGCTTTTTACATTGACTAGTATAGTCTCACTGTCTCGTGCTTTCCCCCATCTGTTATACCCAAGCGCGTGCTTTGCGTTATATTTAGACCCTGCATTATTTGAGAAAAATACTCTCTTGTTTATAGAGCCGCTAACATAACAGGACTAGGATCTTAAGGGCAAATTTGCAAAGTACAACTTAGTGCTGTCCAGAAACACGTGTTCGCTCTGCACAAATGAAGCGGACACCAGATGTAGCTCAGCAGCACCATTCTCTGCCGGGCTGACCTACGTGAATTCTCAAAATATAGGGCTACCTTTGCAATCCAAGCTGAGGTGTCTGTATCACATGGCTGGCTCTGTGCTGTATGCACATATCTGAAGCACTATCAGGAAGAAACAATCAATAGGAGTAATGGCAGCTTACCAGTGGCAAAACCTAGGTTTCTTAAAACCCCTTTAAAAAAAAGAAAGAAAAAGGAAAAAAAAAATTTTTTCAGATAACCTTTCCTTCTGTTTCCCAGTATGACACAGGATGGACCGGGTGACAAGCACTAACTCTCAGTGAGCTGTAGAACAAATCCGGGAGGGCACATCACACTCTCATACAAGTCCTTGCCCTTCCTAAGCAAGCTCAGCAGCCTCCCTCTGTCAGCAGCGATGCCTACCAGCTGAATCACTGCCGAGAGCCTTGCTCCTGGCACTGGAAAGCCCTTGCGGGCCCAGAGCATGGCAGCCAGCATTAGACCTTCCAGCCCAGACAGCTGAACACGTAATCCAGAGTCCTTGAGAAAAACAGGATGCACACTGTAGTTGACTACATCTTGTTGAGACGCTGTCTTCAGACTTTTCAAGTCTTTTGAGATGGGAAGATCAAAGCACAGACTATCATCTCCTTCCCTCCCCTCCCAGTGCTCGGCTTGAATTACATCTGATATGAAACACTGAGTAAAATATATTCTTTTACTGTGAGAAGATTCAAGTACAGATGGACTCAACCTTATTCCATGCATGCTCTGTACGTCTTCATTACCTGTTTCTGATTCAGACCAGATTGGCATTAATTGTGCGTTTGGGAAAAATAAGGACCTGCAACCATGCAGCTTGCCAGAGACATTAAAAAGATTCAGTAATCATTCTTGGTCTCGGCAAAAGTGGAGTGTAACAGAACAGAGCATTCAGGAGCTCAAATTTATTTCACTCTCAGCTGTAAGAGTCAGAACAGCTCTATTTTTATCGGTGACCTAAGCCTAAGCACTGTATGCTCACCACCGCACAGCAAACTCTTCTTGTCAGAGCACTGAACAGCAATTTCAATGCAACTCCCTAGGTTGGGACTTGCTTTTAATCCCATTAGTAATAAAGAAAAATCTATTTACCCTGTCAAATGTAAGCCTGGGGTATGGCGAGAGATACCCTCTGCAAATAGCTGTGCTGACAGAAGAGGTTACAGCTGCTCAGTATCACCATGCCCCCGAGGATGGTGTGCATGCTCCCCTTCCCAGCCCAGTCAGAAACAAGCCGTACTAGCTCACCCCGTGTAGGTACCAGGTCTTTGCTAACCCAGCTTCTTTTGACAGCAGCAGGTTAAGCATCGCTGCTGTGGGCCCAACGCCTGGGGCTCGCATCCTCCGCTGCCAGCTCCCTGCGGGAGGGGAGGCACCACACGGGCATGAAGGCAAGCGCTGGTAGCAAGGAAGAGCTTGCCCAAAGGGGAAGGACCCAAAACCTGAACCCAGCTGGACCAAAGGTTTCGGGGAGTTGCCTTGGTGCTGACTGGTCCGGCTGGACGCACAGCAATGTGCCCAAGGGGTGAGGCCACGCTGGAGGCAGGCTGCAGCAGGAGTCTGCTGGGGAGCTGGAAGAGGGTTTGGGAGATGCTGCAGATGCTTTCACCTGGGGGAAAGGCTGAAGGGCATACCCCCAAACACACTTGGGCAGAGTCTGTCTGTGCAGCGAACCAAAATAAACATCTTGAGCATCTCCCTTACCACATCTAAGATGCCTGGCTTTGCGAGGGAGGCAGAGGCCACACCGCATTACCTGTAGCTCAGGCTCACGGCACATTCAGAACGTGACTATGATTCAGCCCTGCTTTTTAAGTTGTTTACATAACCTTGCATGAGCCATCAAAACCAAGCCGTGCTTAAGGCAATGCTTAATCCTTTAGCCATTAGTTCAGTTCACACTGCAACCTCGGCAATTTAACAATTACCCATCCTTCTAACTTCAGCATCAATCTGTGTGTGCAAACAAATATTAAGCAGCATTCCTTCCAAGCAGGAGAAAGTATGCCACGAAATTAGTGATGACAAATTCAACTCACCATCTGCCCAGCATTTTCTATGACCAGACATGTTTGTGGACAATCACAAATACCCAAGTTATTACAAAAAGTAGTGTTCTGCTTATGTACTTTTTCTCTTCAAGCAACAGAGCTCAGATCTGTGCTGGGCTTTCATCACTCAAGTGGAAATATGCAGAAGATGAAGCGCATGCACGCAGCAGCGAGCGCACACACAGCCTCCTCTGTTGGCAATCTCCTCCCAGCAGGCGAGTTTCCGCTCCAGATCCTCCTTCATCCTTTCCTCAGACTGACCCTCTCCATGCCTGTCAGCCTCACAGGACTGAATTAAGTAAATAGCTGCCACCTCCCATGAGAGGGATGCTAAAATGACAGACACATGCTCAAAATGACCTCTTGGCATTATACTCCTAATTACACTGCATATATTCTCCCTCCCTCTTTCACATGTCGTTTTAGCCTTATGTGGCACATCATATTCTTCAAAATCAGAGCACAAGACTCACACTACATAGCATCAAACAAAAAAGTTGCACGCTGCAGGTGGGAAGTACGTTCTTTCAGGAAAGTCTGACTAATCTGTGTCATCTCACATTAGAAAAAATGTATCTGTAATAACACACACAGTAAAAATCACATCGCTGTAATCATGGTTTTGTGAACTAACTACAATTAATTTTATTTTTACCGTAAGATTTTTTGCTGTACTTTTACTTGGAAGAAGGACATGGTATTACAAGAAACAACACTCATGTTGCCTCACACATCAAATTACTAGCAATTGCTAGCAGCTCTTTACAGATGAGCACTACTGCATTACTCCTCACCTCTTTTCATGGCACTTTTACCCCACTGCAATCCTTAAGCCATGGCAAGTGACATGTCAAAACAGTGGCCTGACCTGGCAGTGGCTTGATCAGGGAGATGCCCTGAAGAACTGCCCGGTGCTGTTGCATCAGCCTCCACTCTTCTTACTCTCTCATCCTTGTGGTTCCCAACCAATACTGCTTAAAAAGCTCTCCAGAGCTTTGTGTGGTCTCCTACAGAGCACCTCTCTTACTTCGCATCCCAACTTTAAACTCACACAAATACTAGGTTTGGTTACATTTCTAAATTTGTACATTTATTACTATTTGACATAAAATGCTAACTGAAAAGAAAGAATATTGCTCAGGCATTGACAGCAGGTTTTTATGTCCTTTTGCTTTGTCTATCAACTGTACTTGCTTGGTCAGTAATTTAAAACAAACAAAAAGAAACAAACTCAAAGTACTACGGAATTCAACATAGCTGCTCTTATTCGTAGAAGCTGGCTTTATTGCTAGGAGAACCCACTTGGAAAACAAAAATGCCCAGTAAAACTTGTGTGGTTTTCATTGTCGTTTAGCTAAAATAGATCAAGCGAACATGCAAAAAAGTTTTGCAAAATAAAAAGGCAACACTTCATGGATTTGAATGTGGGCTGAGGAGAAGTTTTGATTCTCCTTACCCTTTGTAGACCTAAAGCCAGTGAGGATCTTTACCTTATGCTACACAATTAAATGCTTTAGGAAACAAACTGTGTACCTCATATCTTGTATCAGGGAAACCCTCAAAGTAGGCAGAGTAATTCCTGTATCAGACTTTCTTCTTTCCGTTCCAACAGCAACTACAGTGGAGAAAATACGTGAAGTTCATACAAAATGACAGTAATGGTCTGCAATGCATTTGTTTTACATACTTCTGAAAATAATTAAGTGTCTGTAACTGCAACGTTTCTGTGCATTATCATTAACTCTATCCTGGAAATGCAGAAGTAGCCAAAATGAAAAATGTTTAATACATTACCTATTCCTTCCTTAATCCAGCACTGAACTCAGAGATTTAGATTCCTTTTTCGTATGCGAAATACATTAACTTAAATCTGTCCAACGATTAGTTTTATTAGTAATATGTTTCTATGGAAAGCCCACAACCGAGAAGGACGAAATAAAACCAAGCTACAGTAGCATATTTGATGCTAAGAATGACGTGCATTTCTGTGCTGCACTACTCTGATCAAACTGCTTTGTGGTGACACATTTTGCTCTCAGGAATTTGTGCCTGCCAGCCAGATTGCTCAGTGCATTACTCATTGAGGCTTATTAAAAAGTCTTTTTCAGGAGCGAGACTAGTTTGTCCATAGATGTGTCTTTGAGGACTGATCGTGCAAGTTCCCATCTGCAGGATCTGGAGGATTGGAGAGTCCTTGGGAAGATGACCCACTGAAGTTCAGAGACTTACTACAATACCCATCAGCAGCCACTGGGCAGGGAGATCTCAAGGTTGTCAGAAAACCAACCTCTTTCACAACACAGAAGTAATTTAGTGGCTGTGAAGGACCAAGCCAAAGCATAAACTGAGCACTTAAGACTGATGGAAAGAGATTAATTACACAACTTTTGAACTGTACCGTCCACCAGCATAAAATTTATTGAACATGGAGTTATTCACATTGGGATTTGAGAGACAGATTATGCTCACTGAAAGAAAAATGTCAGCTGTCTTAGCCACAGCGCTACACCTTCAGCTCCTTCAGAAATGATCTCTTGTGGAAGCACTGCTTCTCCCACCTCACTCAATGCTGCTTAAAAGGGAACTAAGGCAGTGAACAGACATCAAGTGATCTTCCAGACAGCGATAATAAATATGTTCCTTTGCCTCCAACCATGTCAGTCCACTTTGTCCTGACATCAAGGCATCTTCACAATGACTATGAAAGGTCTTAAAATATAAATGTGATATCAGCAAGCAAAGGCACCAAAAATCCTGCATGCGTTTCATATGGTTGCGCTGTTCCTCCCAGGCCCAAGTACTTTTGCTTCATGGACTCAACTGCCAAGTACTCACCTGGGGACTCTGCACTATGCTCTTGCTTCTCTTCTCTCTCCTGGTACTGAAGTAAATGGGACCACAAAGCAGATTTCCCCTGAAAATTGAATATTTAGTACGTAGCTTTAAATAAGTCAGGCAAAAGAAAAGAGGCCAACGAACAGTGCAAAATAATGGGATGGCATTTCAGTGGGTAAAACATTCAGTAGTGACAATCCATCCTTCTCTCTTGGGCCATGAAACCTCAGGAAGAGGACAGGACTATTCCACTGACCTAGCACTCACACCACCTGCCTTGTTTCTTTGTCCTCTCCCCAGGTTTCCCTTCTGAAGGTTGAAAGAGAAGAAACCAAACGCCTATTTGACAACATCATTGCAATTTCCAGAGGTACTTCTCAAATAAAAAAAATAAAAACAAACAACCCCCCCCCAAAAAAAAGACCCCCAAAACTCCTCAAATCCTCACAAGAAGATACGAACCAGGGACTCTGAGCCCAAAGATACCTTCCACTTACATTGGAATGATGCCAATGAGTAGCAGCTTAAAAGGCAGAGATGGCATTCAGCATTTGCTAGAGCACTGTGTGCACAAAGTCCTGAGTTTCCAGTTACCAACCTGCTTCACCTGCAGACCATGGCTCCAGATTCTTTCTAGCAGATCACAGAGACTAGCAATCAACGTATTCTCCTCCAGACCGGTTATGTTGGCTTCTCCATGTCCCAGCTCCACTGCTTCATGGCCCATCTTCTCTACCAACATGCGTTTAGTCTATTAAAAAAAAAAATCCCTAAAGGTTTCTAAGAATGTTACCCAACAAGGGACAGGATTGATAGATTAGTTTACTCAAACATGCTTAATCTAGAGACTATTGCTAATGGCCTGACTGGAGACACTTCAAATCTCTTTACAGAATTGTAAATTAAAAAGAATAATTTAAAAAAAAAAAAAGTTTGCATGATTACTTCATACTGTCCTATTTCTATGCCCTTTATCTATTGTCCTAGTCCTACACTGTTGATCTATTATCGACTGGTATCAAAAACAGAGTACAGAGCTAGATACATTTTCAGTCTTACTCAGTATTTGTTTATCTTCTTATCGTAGCTATTGAAGTTTAAAACTCAGGTAACAGCACAGCACCAACTGCAACCAACACAAAGAGAAAAAGTTGTATTTCCGTGGCTATAAAAGCTGCTTCTTTAATATTAGAAACTGCTATACTTCATTTGCTCTGCATAAACAACGTGCACAACAGTCACACATGCTGAACGCTTCCCTTTTGACTGAGGGTCTCGAGCCTGTTATGTTTAGGCTACATGTAAATATGAACAATGAAAGGAAATCCTCCCTAAGAGGTCTGTTCATGCTGATTCTCCTTCCTGTCCTGTTTTACTCTTTCCACCAACTTTACATAAACAGAAGAGCAATAATATGTTCCTTTCTTTTCTAGCAGGTGACCAATGTAACACTAAAGAGACATCCACCCTGCAATAGCCTGCTATACCAACAGGCTGATGCCGTTCCAGCTGTGAAGGACTTTCAGGACACCATCTGGTGATGCTATTTAGGCTCAGTGTAAGCAAGGGGGGGAGCACACAGGGGAGGACCTACCTTCATGCGACATTCCTTCAGCAGCCCTTCCACAAATTTCCAGTTGGTCTGCGCAATCACAGCTGGAGAGAGGTCTGAGAGTTTGGGCTGCCTTAAATTTTTTCCTAAACTCCTCGCCTCCTGCATGTATTTCTAAAAATAAAGAGAATAATTTTAGATATTACAAGTCAGAGGGACTCTCCTCATCCTAATCCTAGGCAAGCAAATGCTGGTGAAAAGGAATGAGCTAGTGTTAATCTAGGAACAAAATCTAGGAACAAAATCATAATTTGTCTGATGTTTAGGTGTCAGGCTGGAGAAGTGGAATGCTCCCTTTTGATAAAAGAAAAAGCAAGATATTTTCCTGCAACAGTCAATGTGAGCTAGTGAACTGTGCTGTTAGCCACTAGCACAAAGTTAGCCACAGCAAGTGTGTAGAAGTGCAATACCTTCATTCAGCAATTAAGTCAAAATACCAAATAAAGTTTCCTTCCATTGTTATTTAATTCTCACTCTAAAAAAATTTAAAAAATTAAAAGCCATTTGTCTAATTTGTGACCAGACTATACACGAATTGAAAAAGATCCTTGGAAAATAAATTACAAGAAGCAGAAATACACCTAGTGAAGGGGAAAGATTTCATCCATTACTTTTCATCTGGATAGTTTATGTGGGAAAAATGAGACTTGGTTTTATTATCAATTAACTTCTTAATTACAAGTGAAGCTCGTTTTAAACAAAACTGACATTTAGGATCATTCATGTTTTTACTGTGGGGTGGAAATTGAGAAGTATGGACAAAAATTAGCGTAGTATTTAAAAAAAAAAGATCCAAGCTATAACAAAAGACTTTCAAACCTTCCCACTCCACTGCCTTGTTATTCAGGGGTGGGCTGGTTTTTGTTTTGTTTTGGGGGTTTTTTGTTTAGCCAAAAACCCCAAAGCAATCAAAAAGTGTCCTCTGCCCCCAACATCAGTGAGAAGGCTGCATGCTGAGCAGAGCTGAGAAGTTGGCCACGTTTAGGTGTGCAAATGTGAAGCCTATTAAAAAGTTGTTCAAGCATAATTTATAAAGTTTTTGTTAAAAAGAGTAAGATAATAGAATGTTGCCAAACAAAAGTCTCGAAACACAGGGCTCACAGCCTGGTGCAGGAAT